ATGTAACTGCGAATACTAAAACAATAGAACTTTTTGAAAATGATTTAAGTTTATTCGGTAATAATGATATTTTCCACCAACGTTGTGCTTGTCATATAATTAATTTAATAGTAAAGTCCGGTTTAAAATCAATGTCAGGTCATATTAAAAGAATTGGAGATAACACTGCTTGGATTCAAGGTAGTAATCAAAGAATATAAGATTGGTTTATATTTCTACAAGCATATAATCAAAATCCTAGAGCATTGGCCTTAGATATGCCCATAAGATGGAACTCCACTTACATAATGCTTGAACAATGCATCCCCTATAAAGATGCTATAACAAATGATGTTAGTGCAAAATTAGGAACATGATTTATAGATAAAACTGATTGGTAAATTGCTGAACTTTTGTATAACTTTTTAGGTAGATTTCACGAAGTTACCTTAAAGCTTAGTGGAACTTATTACCTAACTTCACCATTAGCGTTAGGAGAACTTTTAAGAATGTCTATTTTATTTAGTGAATTTAGGACACACGAGGTTTTAGGAGTTCCTATCGCCTCTATGGAAAAGAAGTTTAAAAAATATTGGACTAAATTACCCATGTCATATGGTTTCGGTGTTATTTTTTACCCTAGATTAAAATTAGAAGGTTTAGAAAGTGGATTAGATAACTTAGGTGAATTTTTAGCTATCGACACTACTGACCAATTTCCTATTATAAAGGAAAAAATATATTCTCTATATATCTCTTACGAAAGTAGGTTTAGAAACACACCTCGTGTTGAACAACCGCAACAACGAGATGACAATCCGCATTCATTCTTGAATGTTTTCGGGTTGTCTAAGAAGAAGAAGAAGACGATGACGACGAGTCAAGGTCAAGAAGAATTTGGGAGTGGAAGTGGATCTTCATCAAGAGGTGGCGGCGGATTCAACGAGTTAATGGCGTACCTAAGTAAGGGCTTAGTTATAGACAGTAGTGAAATGTTTGATTTAGTTGAGTGGTGGAGGGCATGAGCATTAACTTGGCCGATCCTAACACGACTGGCAATGGATATTTTTTCGATCCCGGCCTCCACTGTTGCAGCCGAACAAGCATTCAGTTCAACCGGCCGAATACTTGAAGAACGGAGAAACGCATTGCAGCAGGATATTGTTAAAGCTTTGGTGTGCATCAAGGATTGAGACCGTTCTGACCAACGCTTACACGATACAATCGCACCGACAAACCAAGAATGGGTCGACGAATTTAATAGATTAACTTTTAATTTTCAAGATGATCATTCTGCTTCAAATTAAATTTTATTATTCTAATTTGTAAATATTTATTTACTTTGTAATTTCTAATTTGTATAGTGTTTATTGTAATCTTATATAGACTTTGTAAGTTCGTCAAATTTGTAATTCGTCTCACAATGATTGCACTCTTTTTTTCTTACCAAGTTTTTATCCCAATTGGATTTTTATTGGTAAGGTTTTTAAAGAGGGAATCATCAATTACAAATTTAAAAATCAATGAAGAAGTAATTTTTTTTATATAGTTCGTGTGTTCATTTCAAATTTCAAATTGTAATATACACATTGTAATTATACAAATACTTATACAACATAAAAATATAATATAAAAAAAATGAAATTCGGGCAGCCGGTCGGGCATGGGCAGCCCGACCAGGCACGGGCAGGCATCTCCTACCCAAAGCCCGTCCATGGGCAATTTTCGGGTCGGGTCGGGCAGCCGGAATTTTTGGGCAGTTCGGGTTCGATACTCAGGTAAAAATTTGAATCTTTCAGTGGTTACGGGCGGCCCGTCCAAAATTTCAGCACTAAAAGTCACAAGTTCAGCGTATCGAACATTAATTACACGCTTAAGCATATGACAATCTCCCCACGTTACACCCTTTACACTCTCATGGGTTATCTTTGTTTTTCATATATCGGTTTTGCATTCTTATATTACTCAGAGAAATGGTCAATCAAATACTCAACCTCT